GCATTGAGTGGTGCCGCCATAAGTTGCGGGTTCCACAAATGCGGCTGTGGGATTTTACTGTGGCGTCATAGGTCTCCATTGATATAAAATCGTAGTAGCCCTGTAGATTGACATATTCTGTTCAGCCGCAGCGCAACCGCGCACCCATTTTTAAAGAGATTGCTCCGTTCCGAAAGAACGTCATTCCTTTCACAACTCAATTGTAGCTTTACCTAGTTGTTTCAGAAAACACTTATCATGTTGATTGCCCCAAGAAATTGTCAACTTATATGTTGTGGCAAGTGCATAATCCTAGGTTTTAGATGCACTCTCTGAATTAGTATGCTTTCAGGTGAATAAAGTATTGCTGTGAAGTTTTTGAGCAGTAGCCCACCCTCTCCATCTCCTGTGCTTTGGCTGCCCATGCCACTCCTCGGTCGGTAACCAAGAACACTTTCAATCCGACCAAAGTACCCCTGTGGGTTCTTCCTCCAGCCCGTGACCGCCTTGGTCCAACAGTCGGAGCAAAATCGCGTGACATATCGAGCCACCTGATCGTGACCTCAAGGCAAATACAGCAGCGTGCTTGGTCTTCGATCGTTGATGGAGTTCGCAACGCTGGGTTCTCACTCAAAGTTACCCTCTCGATAAATTCAACCAAGAGAGCAAAGAGTTACACAGAGTTCAATCTCCTCAACGGGGTATGCCTCCTCCCGGCATCTACTCAGTGCTTAACCTGTGTAGAGGATCCTACCAGAGAGCGCCATACTCCTCCAAAAATTGAATAGCTGGCTTCTGGTGAGGTTGAACTAGGGGCATCAGCTCATTTCCCAGTCACCTTTTTTTTATCAATCAGGCTCCCTTTTGATGAGTGACTAAAACGAAGGGCTTTTGCGGTCTGGGAACGACTGTCCCAGAGAGTCCATTGCTACGGTCGAAGTATAGTTCTAGGGAGAATGAGCATGCGCCACGTCGAAGGTGTACGCTCCTTTTCAAAAACGAGAGAGCGTCGGGTGCAGACCATACACCACAAGTGACGACGGCCTCCAAGTAAATCTGGTTAGTAGTGGTTCATAGTGATAGCTGATTTTTGGTAAATGATAGTTGTAATTAGTGACAACTGATAGAATACAACTGCAACAGGCTAATTCATTGGCAGAAAACATTTACATTTTGTGGAGGCCGTCGTCACTTGTGGTGTATGGTCTGCACCCGACACTTCTCGTTTTTTGAAAGGGAGTATAGGTAGGCCTTTTTGCCTCGAACCTGTTGATATTTCTTCCAGTTTATTATGCTGAGCAATGGTCTCCAAAGTTGCATGAACCCCCGAAGGATCAATTATTTCTTGATTTTGGGCTGTTACGACGACCTATAAGCTGAAAAACGTTAGTCTTGTAAGTGATTGGAAGGTCGACAAAATACTCACCTTCAATTTTTATGTTAGGTTTACCAGAAAGCAGATCTCGGACTATACTAGACTTTCACCTCGCACGGTGTACACTGACGACTTGGCCGCCCTCTCTATGGGTCCTGTGTAGAGCCCAGGTCTCTGGAGCGTGTTCTAAGGCAAAGGACTTCAGAATCGAAAATGTTTGCGATGAGGCGGATTTTCCTCTTCTTCGTCACTACTCTAGCTCCTTAAAGGAATCTTCTGCGGAAGAAAGCTCCACCTCCATTACCACAGAAAAACGATACTC